TCTCATGATGAGACAGTTGTGATCAGTATGATTGCTCCTACAGAGCGTAGTGATCATATCTGAACTGTAAGATAAGATAAGACTTTATTGATCCCACAACGGGGAAGTTTTTGCGTCACCTCAGCTCAGGTACAGATATCAGAAGGAAATACAAAAATACAAATAAGTACAATCAATGAAAAAAGTAAGATAATACACTACATACAACGGTAGCATACACAGTATGTGACTATGGATATGGTTGGAAATATGGAAGACATCAACTATATAGCTTGACATAACTATTGTACCACTACTATTCCTATTTATAGACATGTACACCTTAAATATGCATATGTATACATATACATGCATATACACCTGCACATGTCCGTACACATGGAAGGTCCATTATGCATGAAGTGGTGAGCGTGGATGCTCCCTGGATTCCCACAGCGGTACCAGTTTGGGGTGATTCCATTCTCCCTGAGAGATTTCTCCAGGGACGACACAAAAACCTGAGTGCAGGATGCAGAACTGAGAGCGCTGAGAGTCGACTAAAGCTCACAATGGAAAGAGACATGAACAAAACACAGAGAACAGAAGAGTGACAACAACACCTGGGACAGCTGTGCACAGGCTGCTCAGAGGACAGAGTCATTGCAGTCGGTTAGGCTATAAATCACTGCCTTCAGACTAATATAGATATTGACGAGGGAATCGCTCCTCATGTTGTGACTTCATGTTACCCACTCATGTCAGCTGTCACGAGGCTTCATGATGAACCTTTCCCATGTGTTCTGAGTTTTACAGATTCAGTAACGTCAGCTGTGGTTTCGGGCACGTTTTATGAGTATCTCCAAAAGTCTTCAACTTAAAACATCTTTGAGATAGTGGGAATTGCACATTATGACTCTTCCCATTACATTCTGTGTGTTTTTTTCCTCTTAACAGTAAAAGGGTGAAGATAAGTGGGGTTGTGACAGAGGACAGCGTGACCGGGGACAGGAATATCACCCACATGACTGCAATGGAAGACACAATGGGATCCAGACAGACAGTACCTGAGCACACAGACCCCCACAGCACAGCCCAAGGTATTTGTTTTGTTATTTTGGCTTTAGTTTAAGTTGAGCTTGCTGCCAACACTCTCAGTGATTTTATTCTCAAAAAAATCAAGCTCCCATCGTCCGAGCGGTCATCTATGGCTCCCTTGCCTTTGATGAGGGTTAAGTGTTGCCCCGAGTCCAGAAAAACACCGTCAGGGTCTTGTTCACGAGGGGAGAGTCGACCAGTGGTTGACAGACCAGTGGTCCAGCATCTGCAGTGATGAAAGTGATGGGAAAATGGTAACTGGCCTGCATTAGTATAGTGCTTTACTCAGTCCCTGAGGACCCCAAAGCACTTTACCCTACATTCACACACTGGTGATGGCAAGCCACACCTGCCGGACACTGGCGCCACCGGGCCCTCTGACCACCACCAGTAGGCCAACATGGGGTTAGTATCTTGCCCAATGATATTTGGCATACAGCCAGGGGGGAGCCTGGGATTGAACCACCGACCTTCTGATTAGTGGCTGACCTGCTCTGCCATCAGAGCTACAGCCACCCGTGGGCTTTCTAGTCTTTAAAGACTTGTGTGCACTGTAAACTACCATGAACAGCAAAATGAACTGTGTGAGAATCTGCGATGGACCTGAACTCTCAGTGAACTGAAAGAGTTTTGGCTGGAACCTGCACGGCTCTGAGGTCTGTATCTGCTGAACCAAAAGCTAAATGTACATTCATACATTTTCTCTCTTTGTCTCCTCCTTCAGCGTCTGTGCCGCTCTGTCATTCTGTGTGTTCTCCCATATTCCTGTGGAGTGTTATCACCATGGCGATGACACAGCTGAGGCTCATCTTCTTCATGGGTGCTATGAATAAGATGATGGAGTTCCTAGTCACCCACGGCGACCCCAACCGTAAGAATAATGGTCCATTTTCTATTTTTTAAATCTAAATGCTCCATGGTTTATTTCATTGGCCCTGCGACAGACTGGCGACCTGTCCAGGGTGTACCCTGCCTCTCGCCCCATGACAGCTGGGATAGGCTCCAGTTTTGGTATTCCTTATGTGGTTTTTAAAAAAACTCTATATCAAGTGTTTAGTGTTCTGCTGGGTGAAAGTTAAGGTTATGGCACAGAATTCACATCATTTTTATTCTCATCAAACCATTTAGTAAACCCTCTCACCACATGAATGCAGGCAATCTGGAAAAGACTGCTTTACCATAGTTTCACCGTAGCATAAAGGCAATCACTCAGATCTGCAATGAGCTTCCTTGTAAGGTGCACATTGGAGCCAAATCATCAAATCAAAGGGAACATGTTTTCAGCGTTTCTTTTATTTGTCACTTGTTTATAGGGCCAAAGTGAGTGTGCTGCTAATGAGAATAATTGCTGTTAACCCGTCTCTGGTAATCCCTGACCTGCTGCTGTCTCTTTCAGCCTCTGAGGAGCTACAGAAGGAGGTGGAAAAACAAGGTATAAACCAAAACACTCAGTTCTAATGGTGCACACACACATGACTGCTGTCCACTGAGACTCGACCCAGGACCAAGACCTGTTTGGGTCCTGACTTAAGATTCAGATTGGTTTTACTCTGTGGAAGGAACATGTTAGACTTACAATTTCAAACGACTTCAAGAAAGCACCTTGAACAGTGAGTTACTCAGATTTCATGGGAACTTCGTGATTCATTTTCTAGAGATCAACCAAATGCAATTTTCTTGGCCAATTCAAAATTGCAGCTGTTTTGTAAAAGGCCAATACCTGCTTTGATCGGCTCTGAGCTCTTGTTCTTGTGCTATGACTAGATGCAAGTGTAACACACCCAAAGAAAGATTCTAGGTCTGACCAACCGTCTCAGTCGTGGGCAAAAAGATGACAGTCAATAAAATTCTAAAAGATACTTTATTGACAAAAAATATCAAGAGATAAAAGATAAAACAGTCCAGTGTCCCATTTATGAATCAAATAAAAACACACAGTCCCAAGGCCAGAGCCAGCTATGCCACACGGCCAGTTACACTCCATGTGTTGCCTGTAACAGGGTTAGAAGTTGTCCTTGGAGACCCACCACCCTGCAAGCATATAGCCAGTGGTCACTCCAGCCTCTGCAACTCTGCTACCTTTAGGCTGTGGCATATAATAGGCCCTGGCCTGCACAGAGAGACAAAACTACACTTTCACTATAGAATTCATAGGACAAAACCCATCCATCCCAAACATATCTGATTTCATCACAGTACATACCTGCACAGAGAGACAAAACGACACAGCAGTGTTTGTAGTGTGGGCTATAAGTAGACCAGTGTATCAGTGCAATCAAGTACACCTGCCTCTAATTAGTCCAACCCCATTCCAGCCATTGGCTCACCAAAAATGTGACACACACACAAAACCACTCCCAACCCAGTGCAACTTCACACAATAATATGGAGCTGAATTAACACAGGTACATTAGTCTACCATGTTACACCCCTCCCTGCTGAAATGGTCATTGTCCCAATGACCATGTAATCTATAAATATTAGTCTCCAAATCTCTGTGGAGGCAGTCCTTTGGTTGTTCTTGTTGACCGTCTGGGTTCTTGATGAATGAGTCCTGTCTCGATGCCTTCTGGGCCAGCCTCGAGGGGGATTTCTGTAGGAAGCCAAAACCCGACCCAGGGTGGAGCAGCTGGAGATCTACCAGTGTGTGGCCATGCATTTCCAGTTTTTAAATCTTCCTGCCTGGCTGTCTCCACCTCACTCCTAGAGTTCTGCATATCTTGTTGCATAGGTAGCAAACAAGGTCTCATTAAGTTATGATGCATCACTTTCTCAACATTTCCCCCTTCTTGTCTAATTACATACACCGGCAAATCAGGATCTGCTTGTTTTATGACGACATAAGGTCGCTGCTCCCACCTATCTGCCAACTTACCTCGGCCCCTTGCTCTCAAGTCCTGTAGCAATACTCTCTCTCCAGGCAGCAATGGAAGAGCATCTGCTTTCAGGTCATGATATTTCTTTTGCCGGGACATTTCAGAGTCTCTATGGTCTTGAGCTTTTCGGAAGGCATACTGCAGCCGTCTCTGATGGCATTGCACCCAGTTGCTTACAGAAGAACAGCCCACATTTTCAGTAAGGCCCATCAGCCGATCCTGGGGAAGAAATCCATGCCTTCCAAACATCAAATAATGTGGTGAATATCCTGTAGAACTGTGCACTGTATGGTTATATACCTGGATCATCTCAGGCAGGTGATCTCGCCAGTTTCTCCTCTCTTCACCTAATGTGCCCAGCAACCCCAGAAGAGTCCGATTAAGCCGTTCACAGGCCCCATTTCCAGCTGGGTGTTGTATGATCCTTCTTTATACCATACAATTCACACAGCTCCTGCACTAGTTGCGATTCAAAGTTAGGACCTTCATCTGACAGCAGTCGTCTCGGTGCACCAAAGGGCTGAATTACCTTGCTCCAGAGTGCTTTAGCTGTCGTCACTGCAGTCTGGTCTTTTGTAACTGCAGCCCAAGCAAATTTACTGAAGTGATCCACCATGACCAAAACATTATGATACAGATCTTCTGGACCGTTTGTGACCCGTGGTAGGTACCTATTTAAAATAGGACAGAGCCGTAGGCGCACAGTCAGTTTAAAAGAGTTTAATTTTTAATACAAAATAAAAGAAACAGTGTAACAGCAGCACCTAAAAACAATTAAAAACGTTACCTTATTAAAAACGATAAAACTGTACGATTGCCTGTGAGACAGGACAAGCGCTGCGGGGAACAGTTTAAAAACAAATCGACATAGCACACAGGTTAAAAATGGACAGCAACTCACACATGACCCCAAATGGGTAAAACACTATAGAAAAAAAGGCAAATCTTCGGTGCCGTCTTCACTCGGGCCCCCCGCTGTGCATGCAAAAGCGGGGAGGCAAAAAAAGGATTTGTTTTACCTGCAGCGCCTTCACCGCCTGCGAATCAATATCTGTGTTGCCTACTGATACAGAAAAAAAGTAAAACAAAAAAACAAAACCATCGACAGCCGCAGCAGTCAGTCTGTCGGCTTACACCAGTTTAAAACAAATTAAAACACACCGATGTGTCGGGTCCTTTGCCCGCAGCCAGAAATCCACCTGGCAAAGCAGCAGCTCGGTACTCTGTGAATAAAAGGCAGGAGATCACTAGCTGGACAATAAAACACAGGAATATTCCTCCACTGAATGGGTTTTGTTACCTGTCCACAAGTTCGTGTCACACCCTAATAAATGTGGGTCAGTGGCGATGAAGTCCACTATACCGTTCTCACGGGAGCAATGTTTCCCACCTACAAGGGTGCAAATAACTGTAAACCTCTGCCAACAGCCAGAGCTCAAGTGGTACATTTTTGTGTAACCTACCGTTCTAACAGAAGTTTAGGGGAGGACGCGTATCAGACTTTCATAGTTAAGAAACACCAACTTGCCCAACTCGGACCAAGCACTCGCAGCTTCAGGTTTGCAAAGGAATACCCAATTGCCCACACCTGCGCTTATGAAAGGAGCGAAGACCAGCTCCGCCCACCAGGGGCGGTCCCAAGTCTCCAGGTCTCACCTGTCACACACCTATAGACAAAAAGTCTACAGACAACAGTTCCATGGGTGCAGATGTCTTAATGGGAATCAACGGAGCATGTTTCGCAGCAGCCGCTTTACGCAGGACACAGGCCTTACATTGGGAACACCAATTTATAACATCAGCATTTAATTTGGGCCAGAAATATCTTCTTTTAATGAGGGATATTGTTTTTTCTGGGCCCCAGTGTCCTGCATATTCATGGTACGGTTGCCATATAGAATACTTCTCACCCTCAGGAACCAAAATTTGAACTACTGGATCGACCTCCTTGGTATCATGTGATGTCCGACACAGCACTCCATCTTTTAGTGACAGTCGTTCCCAGTGCCGCAGAAGACAGAACAGGTTTAGACTCCTGTTGCCTCTCACGCTTATTTGGCTGATGGCCCCTCTGTAGATAACAGAGCCACCCTTCTTAGCGTTGAGTCCTCCCCTTGCAAGGCAGACCACTGAGATGGCGTGCGTTCAGGAAACAGAGGCACACCACAGGTTACATTTTGTAAACCCTCCTGGTTAGAGTTGCTTACGCCAACACACATTGCTCTGACCACATTTACTTCAACCTGTTTAAAGGATGGAACCTCTACTTCTTCCCTTTGTCCCTCTGTAGCCTCGGATACTACAGGTGATGGATATCTGGATAGTGCATCTGCACTCTGATTAATACGCCCTGGCCTATATTTGATCTCAAATTGAAAACTAGCCAGACGTGCTGCCCATCTCTGCTCTAAGCTACCAAGTTTGGCTGAACTCAAATGTACCAAAGGGTTATTGTCTGTGTAAACTGTAAAGGGTACACAATACAGATATTCAGCAAATTTCTTGGTTACTGCCCAGGTCAAGGCCAGAAACTCAAGTTTGAAGGAGCTATAGTTCTTATCATTTTTCTCAGAAGGGCTCAAACTCCTACTAGCAAAAGCAATTACTTTCTCTTTTCCATCCTGAACTTGTGGGCAATTCTTGCAAAATCTTTCACAAATCTCCGATAATAGCCTGCCAGACCCAGAAATGATTGTAATTGTTTCACAGTAGTTGGAATAGGCCATTCTTGAATACATTTAATCTTGTCAGGGTCTGGAGCAACCCCTTTTGCTGAAACACGATGACCCAAATACTGAACCTCTGGTTTTAGAAGACAGCACTTCTTGGGTTTTAATTTGAGGCCATGCTTTGACAGTTTACCAAGGACTGCATCCAAATGAACCAAGTGGGTGTCAAAATCTGGAGAATAGATTACTACATCATCTAAGTAGACAAGTACAGACTGTAAGTTTTCTTCACCCAGGCATACATGCATCAACCTTTGGAAGGTGGCTGGTGCATTTGACAAGCCAAAGGGCATTCTGGTGAATTCAAATAAACCCATGGGTGTAGTGAAGGCTGTTTTTTCTCTGTCTGGTGGGGACACCCCAACCTGCCAATATCCACTGGCAAGATCAAGTGTGGAAAAATACTTTGCGTTACCCAAACTGGCAAGTGACTCTATTCTTGGAAGAGGGTAAGCATCTTTATGGGTCACAGCATTAGGTTTATGATAATCCACACAAAATCTAAGTGTCCCATCCTTCTTACGGACTAACACAACCGGAGAAGCCCATGGACTGCAACTAGGCACAATGATGTTAGCATCCAACATACCTTGAATAAAACTCTTCACCTCCTGATATAACTTTGGTGGAATTTGTCTATAGCGCTCACGGACTGGTGCAGCATTGCCTGTAGGAATTGAATGCTGCATGGTGCTTGTCAATCCATAATCTTCCTCATGCACAGCAAACACTGCTCGGTGCTTATGCAATAAAGCCTGCAGTTTCTCCAATTCCTCTGTGGACAAATGAAGACCAGTTAAATCAGGGAACATGCATTTCTCCTTGGGCAGGGCTTGCGTTTGGTCCATACTCACTCTGTGTTTACACCAACACGAGTCATGTTCACACTATTCTCTTGTATGATATCTGCTGGGTCAATAATAAAAGTCTTAGCCAACTTCTGATGTCTATAAAGGTACATTGGTGAGTCATTAAGGTTTTGGACCCTAATCAAAAGCCTCCCATCATGGACTGTAGATAATGTTCTAGCAATTAAGACTTCACCCACCTCGACAGGTTCCACCAGGCATTGATAATCCCTGCCATCCACTCCAGTCTTCGTACGACCCCAAACCAACATCTCACTCCGAGGGGGAATCTGTATAGGATGGCGATTTATGGTACGTACATACCCAATGGACCCATCTGAAGCTGCAAACCGTGCCTGACTGGCACAAATCTGAAAAGCAGTAGTCCAAGCTCTGTTCGGCTCCACTAGAGGAGAGGTAGGCTAATGGCTTCTCCTGATCCATTTTTTCATAACACTGAAATAACATTCATACCCAGGACGCCTTCATTGTCGGTTAAACATTGGTCCTTAATCACCAAAAAACCACATTCAGGGAGTTCCACCTGTCCAATCTTCACATGTAGCAATACATAACCCAGGTATGGAATATCTAGTCCATTAGCAGCCTCGAGCACCAGCCAGCTGCTTGCATCCTTCAATTTCATCCCATTACTGCCAAAGTGTTTAGAGAAGTAGCTGTTCTTTATCAGTGACACATTTGATCCAGTATCCAGAATACACTGTATTGGAACATCATCAAGACACAAGCTGACTTTAGGAACTTTTCCAATCAGTTTTTTCACATCAGTTTGAGGCCCATTGGCATCGACACAACCCACTGTCTGGGCCACCACAGTGGTGTCGTCTAGTTTAACGATCCAGATCTAGGCTTGCTTTTACAGAACCGAGCTATGTGGCCTGGCTGGGAACAAGTGTTACAGATGGGGCTACCTTGTTCATCATAGCTGTTTGAGTAGACTCTGGGTCTGCTCCCTCCTTTCTTTCTTGATCTGGACTGGTCAGTCTGTTTCCAGTCCAAAGTCTTTTGTGTAGCTTGATGAAGCTCTGATCGGATTTCTTTGATCAAAGTCTGTGATAAATCATTGAATTGTGTGGTCATTTGCTTGTTCATGTCCTCCCACAACTCTGATTTGATCTGTTCCATATCCTTAGCATTACAGGTCTTGTATCTTTCACCTTTGGCAGCAAAACACTGGACTGGATCAACCATTTCACCATAAACGTGTTCCCTCAGGATTAGTTCTGCTTTAATTTCTGCAAAAGTCAACTGATCATTCATTAGAATTTTTGTTCTGAATTCACCTCTAAGGGCAGTGTCTCTCAAGCCTTCAACCAGATGATCTCTGAGAAGAATATCTTCGTCATTCATACCTCTAGGGTCCTTCCTCTTTAACCTGAGAAAATGTTCTAGTAATCTCAGTGCAAATGAACTGATGTCTTCATGTGTTTCTTGGCGAGCGTTGAAGAACTGAGAGCGCAGGACCGAAGCAGTTGTTTTATCCCCATACAACTTCTCTAACTCATTAAAAATTAGCTCAGATGAATTACGCTTCTCTGGTGCTAGAATTAAAATCTCTCTTTTAGCCTTGCCTTCCAAGCAACAGAGTGTTAATTCTGCTCTAAAATCTACAGGAACTCCTTGCAAAGCAAATGTTGTCTGCAAATTACTTTTCCATTCACCTAGACTAATATCTGAATCCTTCCCTCTAAATTTAGTTGTGACCATATTAAACATAGGGATCATACCAAAGGGCCTAAACCCTGCACTAGAAACTGGTGCTTCTCTATTTGGGCCAGACTGTAATTCACTCTGATCAGTCATCTTGCTTTTGCCCACTACAGATTATGGTAGCCAGATCCTGTCGACAACGCCAGTTGTAACACACCCAAAGAAAGATTCTAGGTCTGACCAACCGTCTCAGTCGTGGGCAAAAAGATGACAGTCAATAAAATTCTAAAAGATACTTTATTGACAAAATATATCAAGAGATAAAAGATAAAACAGTCCAGTGTCCCATTTATGAATCAAATAAAAACACACAGTCCCAAGGCCAGAGCCAGCTATGCCACACGGCCAGTTACACTCCATGTGTTGCCTGTAACAGGGTTAGAAGTTGTCCTTGGAGACCCACCACCCTGCAAGCATATAGCCAGTGGTCACTCCAGCCTCTGCAACTCTGCTACCTTTAGGCTGTGGCATATAATAGGCCCTGGCCTGCACAGAGAGACAAAACTACACTTTCACTATAGAATTCATAGGACAAAACCCATCCATCCCAAACATATCTGATTTCATCACAGTACATACCTGCACAGAGAGACAAAACGACACAACAGTGTTTGTAGTGTGGGCTATAAGTAGACCAGTGTATCAGTGCAATCAAGTACACCTGCCTCTAATTAGTCCAACCCCATTGGCTCACCAAAAATGTGACACACACAAAACCACTCCCAACCCAGTGCAACTTCACACAATAATATGGAGCTGAATTAACACAGGTACATTAGTCTACCATGTTACACAAGAGTTTAAGTACGGATCCTGGGGAGGGAAAAGGGGCAGTGGCCTGGGTGGAGGTACACTGAGTCACTATAATGAGAAGAGACAGGCAGTCAGTGGCAGTCCAGTGAATCACAGCCAGAGATTAAGCTATGATGGTTATGGTTTACGTGTTGCAGGGGTAGGCGTCAGGCAAGGAGGGTGTCTAGGGGGTCTGGGTGAGGAGTGGTCAAGACAGAGTCCAGAATATACTTGGAGCAACGGCCCTGGCAGGGGGCAGGTAGGTGAAAGGCCACGATGGAGGGAGTGCAACCTGATAGCAGAAAACCAGCGTCCAGACAGAGATGCGTATTTTTCCTGCTTGTGAAGTGTGACGTGGTACTATGACAGAGAGAAAACACTGTGGGTAGAAATGCAAAAGATAAGGTGGCCACGACTAAAGCGAGTTAGCTGAAGATCTGGCAAAGGTCTGTTGTGAGTGCTGGTCTTAAATGCTGGTGACTTGATTGCATTGAGCTGTGAAGGCTGATTGGAGTCTCCGCCTGAAGGTGCAGCCCAGCAGAGTGGAAAAACCCCGCACTCACCTGGACCATGACAGTTGGTTTCAGCCAGTTTGTCTTTCTTGGCTTCTTTAAAATGGCCATGTTCAAACTTTTTGTGGTAGTCCACCTGCAGTTTACTTTGGTGAGCTGTGTCTTCCCTCCCAGTGTTACCATGTGGCATTATTGCATGTCCACGATGTAACTACTTCTGATGTTTCCTCTACATTTCACCTTCACTAGTTACTTTGCCTTGTTTGGTGTCATTCTTTTCAGCACAACCTCACGTGTCTGAATTTACAGTCATGTTTTCATTTTGACAGACTGTATTAACACAACTGATCGAAAATCAGACAAACAACAAAATCCGAGTAGAAAGTTATATTTGTTACTGTAACAACCACAAACATGTTTATTGAATCATATTTCATAACTTTAAATGCAAATATAAATTGTCAGTTTTAAAATCATACGCACAAGTTTTGCAAACAACAAAGTGATTTGCAGCCATTTACCTTTTTTAACCATGTCAAACTGTTTACAGAACAATCAGCTGTTCTTCAATAAGATGCCACAAATTATTTGTGTCACTCCAAATATTTCTGTCCACTATAAAGGAAACATCACAGCCTGATACCTGCAGGTCTGACAGCAGCAGGTGTGTCACTCCTGTTTCTACCTGGAGACAGCAGTCGCCTCATTGTTCTGACACACAACACAAAACTATCCACA